ACTTTCGTATATTGTCGCGCAACGCGCACTGTCTCTCTATTGGTTTATCCATATTTAATATGCGACCGGATCTCTGTAGAAATGCGCGAAATGTTCAATAAAATATCCATGAGAGAAACATTCGAACGTAAATACCTTCGATTGTTGGATTTCCTCGGGAGTTCTCGAAACGTGTCGTTAGGTGTATTCCGTATTTTATTTATCGTGCCTCTTTTTCTTGCAATTACCCACCATATTCTGAAAAATTCTGAGATGAAATTATAGCCGATTTTTTTGCTGAAGAGGAAATCGATGGCTAACATAATTATGGAGGCTAACACGAAGTGTTTTAAGATTCTAAAGAAATTTTAGCTTTAAGAGTGGATGTATAGATTTTGCTTCAGCAGTTAATTAAAAAGTGTCAACCTTGTGAACGATTATTTAGAGGGTAAAAAAAAACCTCCAAGTTATATAGAAATTCTGATATGTATCAGCTAGTCGTTAATTAAAGGCATTATGCGTGAATGATTAAAAAAGATATAATGAAGATCGTACCCAGAGTGCACTTATTATAGCATTAATGCAGCCGTGTCGGTTTAATTATCAAGCTCGACCACTGTGACGGAGCGGGCTCGGTGGACGCGCGCGCAACGGCACATCGGGAATTTTTAAATTTGATTCCTATGCCAGGCAACCGTGGCACATTTAGAGCCACGTTCATTTTAAAGCGGAACAGCTTTGCAGCATCACGAAAAGGGGAAAAAGGAAAGAACGACTCTATGGCTCTGTACTTACTAGTTTTTACTACTTTCGAAATTCATTTCGCGGAGAATTGCAAAGTCGTTACGAAAAGTATTCACTCCGGGTATTCACTCCGGTAGGTAATGCCGTAGGTAATGCCGTAAAATAAAGATGAAAACTACGTAACGCTGCGTTTAACAATTAACAATATTAACCCTAGACATACTCACTTATTTTTCTCATACGTGAATGACTCACTGGGGTGTCACGATACCCCAAACTTGTACCGCGTGTATAATATTTCCAGAATGTTCTTAGGAAACTTTATAATAGATAATTTTGTTTGTTGTTTAATAGGGAAGACGATAGTAGTCATCAATTTGCGGTAGTAAAAAAAAAACAGTAAAAAAATTTCGAAAAACAAGAAAAAGAACCAAAAATTGGGCTAAAATGACTATTTTTATAAAAAATGCTGTAGTTTTTCACAAAATTCACCGATTTTAAAATTTTCAACGGATTTTGAAAGACGAATAGACAACCTTCAAGGGCATGTAAGCGATTTTTTCGTTTCTTAAAAAAAACATATTTCTTTGAACATCTGAAGTAGAGGAAATGACGAAAAACTGTCGGATGAGAAAAATCGCAAGAAATGGAAAGTAAAACAGATTCTGTCGATTATTATTTATTTGAAAGGTAGTCAAAAGTTATAAAAGTATATGGAAACAGTAAAATTAACTCCACAAAAACTTTACAAAGTTTTAATCAGCTGCTGTGCAAGAACAGCAAAAATGAAATAATTGACCGAATCTTAAACAATTATATATGAAACAGGGGTAGAATTTTCCGGGGAGTGCTATAAAGTGTATAAATTTTTCGTTACCGATTTTCACAAAAAATCTGAAATATACTTTACTGTGGTAAATGTCGAGCGTAAATGACTCACTGGGGTGTACGGACACCCCAAACGATTTTCTTTTTCGGTTTTCAGCTGCTGCACGGATCTAACGCACTCGCTGAATGACGGAGGTCGACTGCCGGATGACTAAACTGAATTATGGTTAGGGTCTCGGTATGAAAACTAACCTTCCTAAGGCAGGGGCTCAATTTGAATTTCGCGTGGGGTCCCGTAACACCCCAGTGAGTATGTCTAGGGTTAAATAAAACAATTTTTCAAACGCATATTCTTACGTCTCCCATGAATACTCAGTACATCAATCATAAATGAAGGAGATTCTTTATTTACAATTGACATGTTGAATATTCATATTTGAAAGGATTGAACCTCGATAAATCGCAAGTGTTCGTATCCAGCTCTTTCGACATACGACACGACACGCGATTTATTTGCATGTGTCTTGTGCTCCCCAAAACGAGCGTTCGGTTAAAATACGACTCGGACTGATTTACACGTATCTCCGCGTTTATCCCTCCGGGTATTAGCGTCGTTTCTCTTTCTTTTTTTTCTTTTTTCCTTTCCTCGCTGATACGTGACAATGCTCGCTCGTTTAATTTTGCCGTTTGCAAAGGAGATTTAGCACGGCCAACGACGCGGTGTTACGACTTCAAACGGCGTAAGCGAGGATCGATATGGCGCAACGAAAATAGAACTTAGCGCAAGGAGAGACATACCGGTGCGATGCGGGATGTACCCGCAGATGTAATAAAGTCCGGTTGAAAAGTATCATCCCTCTCCCACGCGATAACCATCCCCTGGGGTCGTAAAACCGTTTTACGGGGTTGCCGAGAAATGTAAACTTGTGCATTATGAAAATGTCGCATGTATTGTGCGGGCAAGTCTCGGGGATCGGAATCTCTCCGTGACGCGTCTTTATGTACGTACGTAATGGAATCTTTCGGAACGACGGGCACAGCGCCGACAAGCGTAAAAAAAAATAGAGAGGAAACAATGGGAGAACGCACAACTTCGCTCGTCATTTCAATGGCTCGTTCGACAGCACCCCACGATCGATCGCGGCAAAAATAGAGCGCGAAATTGATCGGTTCGTTTTTAACATTTCTTTGATATTAGCAAAACTCCTATTGTATGAATATCATAATATCGTGTAAGTCTACAATTAAATTTGTTTGACTCTACTGATTCTACAAATGTACGATTAAGTATTCGTATTAATTCGTATTAACTCGCTTTTAAAAGCTTCAAAAACTCCAAAAGGTAATTTTTATTCTATTACTTTTGATATTCGCGTATATATAATTTTTATTACGCTTTCCTGAAACTACCACGGAAAAAAATCTGTGTTCCCTCCTTCTTTCTCTCTGCGATGTTTTGCAGTATTGTGGTTAATCCAAAATTCCGGTCAGCGTGTCCGCAAACAACTCGGATTGCTCTAGGGTGCGCTCGACTTCATGGTAAATCTTGGAGCGCCGAATAATACATAAAGGCCGCCAGTGTTACACGACGTGCGAATGCTCGTGAGCGAGTGCCGTTCGTAAATATTAAAACGTACATACTATCTATTGCCGAGAATTTATGGTGCGGAACTCCGACAGACGTAGGAATATTTGCGAGCGAGGACGTTCGTTTTTCTGCAGGCGGTGTGCCATGCGCGAAATGCAGGAAGGGCGGAGATAGGAGGATAATATCTCAGGAGAGTCTCGAGGCAGATGAATGGCGACTACCTTTTGAGGAGAAAAAAAAGCAGTAAGAACATCGGCGACGTAGAAAATGTTATGGGCAACTTTGGCGTAATTCGTCATGGCGTATGGCCGCGCATTTTCGGCATTATGAACGTGTCAGGAGAGCTGAATGCTAATGCGCGGAATATTGGCTTACGTTTTCCTTTCTTCGCGTCAACAGGCCGAAAAAGATGACGAAAATAATGACTAATGTAGGTACAACTACGAGTTTCTTTCCCCACGACGCGATGAATAAATTAGATATACCAGAATGTCGTCGCTTCGACGTAATCGTTGCTAAATATATCCCCTATCGAACACGTTTTTAGAAAATAACGTCTGAATGTTTGCATACGATAGATTAGCTCCTTTTTATCCAATCCATCCATTAGTCCATCCATTAGTCTTTCGCCACGCAATTTAAAAGAGACCATGCACGCATTAATTTAGTCGCCATTCACGGGGGAAAAAAGATTTACTGCTTTAGCAAAGTAGTTGTGAAACAGTGATAACTAAGCTGTAATTTAGCAATAGTAGCAAAATTCTTCGTTAAAGTTTTGCTACTATTGTTAAATTGTAGCACTGCAAAAAATGTTAGTTATTCCTATTTTATCCCAATTAAAGCTATAGTAGCTAATCCTTTTTTCCGTGTTCTAATCATAAATTCTTAAAAACCTCCAGCGGTAAAACTAACGATTGCTACTCACGTTTTCGACTCTTATCATCGTATCACAACGTGTGTCCCCGAATACAAAATCGAGCTACATTCTGTCTACAGAATGTTCAACTTGTTGACCCACTTGAGAGATTTGCTCGCATCGTTGTAGTTTCGCGCTACAATTCACAGTCCCATCCGATTTCTCGTTCGATCACGCATCTCCATTTTAACATTCAGCATCGACAGTATTGGCGCTATGCGAGTTCCCCCTACTTATCGCGAGACTCGGCGAGAAACAGACTTTTGTTCCAAATGAAATAAAACTACTTTGCGAAATAGGGTCAACGGCCAGTCGCCTGTGTACACAAACTTTCTTGAAAAAAGATGCAAGAGAATGCAGATGCTGAGTTCTCTTGAATAAACTTCTTCCTGAAATTCTTCTATACGTTTCCCGTTTAAAACTTAACTTAGCAGCTGTCATCTCTCTATATACTTCCTATGCATGACTTTTACTATTTATGATGGCATAATTTTGTATAGTGCATTGTAATCGAGTATGAGACTTTGAAAGGCACAAATTGAAAGATAAATTGAATCATAAATCGAAATATTATTGAAATGCATTGAACATTAAATGGAGACTTCATCATTCATTTGTACTTCATGGGAAGTCTTAAAATTTGAGCCGCGGAACTCGCAAATCGTTGATTTACATCGACTTTTATCGAGAAGAAATTAAGTTAGAATTGATGGAGGGGACCCGCTAGCTAAAAGAAACGCGAAACGATAAGAACATAAAAACATAACGAACGTGTCAAGCCGATGAGAGAAGAGACTTTCCGCCGTGATTGCAAAACCCAACAAGAGCGAAGCTTTCCCGCCCCAAGGGTCTTCCGCGGTTACGTTATATAAGAAATTGCGCAGTCACAGTCACGGCGCGAGCTAGATCGAATACAAAAAGGGAGGAATACACACAAGAACTCACCTCAGCATGATGAAGCTGTCCGCTCGCGTTCATGTGTGACGCGCGACTCTACCGCCGTTTTCTTCTGTCGTCGTCATTAAAGTTCGGGGCGAGTCGCGAGTCCCCCGCGAAAGACAAGAACCGAAACGCGCAGACCGAGAGAAAGAAAAGCTCGCCAAATATAACGCTCGTACGATCACGATGCATTCACCCGCGTTCTCGATCTCCTCGCGGACCTTTTTTACGCGAGCGCGCGCCGCGCCACGCCGGTTGAATCGGCGCGCGGCGATGCGCCGATCGTCGGGGGTTGTGCTTCTCGTTATCGGCGGACGAGAATGAGTGAGTGCGCGGGGCGGCGTTGGGTGCCTCGCTCTGCGAAGGGCCAGCGAGCCGGCGCGCGGCGCAACTTACCCCACTCGCGGCTCGAAGCTGACTGAAACGCACCCCCGAGCCGGGAAGGTGCGGGTGGAGAATCCCGACGTGGGGCGCAGATCGGCGGCGACACGCGAGACCGCGACCTGTCGCGGATGCGGGGTGCCCTTATCGGCGTCGGGGCTGTCTTATCCCCGATGGCATCGGGTAGAGTGGAAGATATTTATCTAAATCTTACGTTTAGAGATCCGCTGATGTGAAACGAGTTGTATAGAAGCAAAGCTCGCGCGTTTTCCACTCTCGAGGATTTACGACCAAATTGAAATCTCTTATACGCGCAGTTTCCAATGGATCGCATCTAGGTTTTCTTTATTTAAGAATAAAGACATCGAGCTGGAAAATGTAATGTCAGACGGCTTGATACTTTTTTATCCGAAAGTGATATACAGGAAGATGTCGAAGACGGTCGTTCTTGTCGAAGAAACTTCGAATAATAAGGCGACTTTTACTTCTACTATACTTCTCGAATAAGAATTATTTTTACAGAATGTATTCTGTACTCGTTAAGGAGACCCAGTTACTTCTTATTATTATAATCAGGAAACGTGTACAATGTTAAAGTCGATATCACTAAGAATATCAATTACTAAATGCATTGCGTTATCGTTGATATGCAAATCTCTGCATGAATAAATCAGGAGCAACGCAAGCTGCCGCTTTTGTAATTATAGTATACGGAGAAATGTTTCCATATATAGGAACTTTACAGCTATTTGCCAACGATTAACGGGTTATTGTTACGTGTGAATTAACAGTCACCTTGGCGCCAGATACGTTGCGTGACACTTTCAGGATTCCAGTATTTCGTGATATTCTACAGAGCAAGCGTTTTGGCTGGCTCTGCGTTACATTTGGCAGCGTTTCAAAGAGATAAATTAAAAAACGATTGCCGTGAAAACGCACCGAGCGCTCTTTTGATTTTGCCAAAAAGAATAATCCGCTTTTCAGCATGTTTGGAACTGCAAACTTTATTCCCTTGGTATACGGAAAATTTTGCGCTTCGTGCGTGTTTACTTGAACCGAAAGTTCCAACCAAGTTAAGGGCGAACAGACCGAGAGAAACGTTTAACTTTTACTTGTTCGTAGAAAACTCCGAGTGCGAGCTCGGCAAATCGGACGGTATGACCTAAAGAGATGCTTCTGACAAATCAGATTTGCAAATGCGTGTCGAGTGAATACTCGAATCCATTTTTATGCCGAATTTTTCCTCCATAAAATGCATGATTTATGAGACAACTATAGTTTCCCGGTGAATAGCGAGTTATTAAACATTCTTCGTTCCGCGCTTCGAAGAAAATGTACGAGCCTCGGGCTGCTCAGCGCGAAAATAACATCGCGTGCAAATCCTCTTACGTTGTCTAAGCTCGAGTTCGCCCGTTAAGTTACTATGCCCGTAAAACACCCGAATACTTACCACCCGCGGTGGCATGGTTACGCGAAAGCATACTATCCGAACTTTCGCGCTCGCACTCGGGCTCAATCTCATTACGTGTGCCCTGCCGAAGAGCACGGTGAAATAGTGGCATTACACGGTTCTACATACATATATACGGCAATGCAGCAGCGGCGACGGTATCGTGACTGCGTCTTGTCGAGTCTCTGTCTCCACGCTTTATGCAGCCATATTTCTTCCGGCTGTAACTGTAACTTGTCCCGGCTAAAGGAATTTTTTCGTTCCTGGTAATCGCGTATTCCCTGGGTCGTGTAGCTTTACACGAGTTCTCCGAGACGTTCTCTGATGTGCAACGGCATTTTCAACAGCTTTTCCACGTACAGTGGGTTGGCGCATATTGTAAGATAAATTGATCGAGCAGATTCTGTTGCGTAGTTCGGCGAAATTTTATATATGATACCGACAAAATAAGTGTATCGCATTCGGAAATAACAATATCTCTATCGCTGTCAGTGCTCGTGGAACGATACTGTTATACTATATTGTCAAAAAAATTCTATTCAATTCGTGATTGAAACTGAAGTAAGCATTGCTTTGCATATAGTGTACAATACGTTCTGTGTGCGTGTTCATAACACGTTCGAATATTTCGCTTTTAATTTCATCGTCGATACAGCCCGCACAATATACGCGACGAACGCAACGAGCGCGGAACAATGCAGACAGATTGACCCTGGTGAATGCCGTTCTTCGAAAATGCAGAGAGATACGCAGCTTTCGCGCGGTACGTTTTTATTGACTCTCCTGGCACGATAATATGAACTCGACAACGGGGGGACGATATTTCGCGTATCTTGTCGCGCGGCTGAATCCGAGAGGGCAGATTTATAAAGCACGTGAGGCGTTTAATATCGCGGAATCCTCCCGTAATACGCTTCTTTGGGAGACAAAACCGGGTCGGAGCAGTCGATTTGTCTGGTACTCGGGGTAAGATTAATAGCGATGCGACAGAGGGAAGGGGGGGTGGTGCTCTCAGCTTCGAAACGGTCGGAGAAAGAATGTTCTATTCTCACGAGGTGATATATAATTCTATAACATTCTGCTTGGCGCGCGCCAGCGAACGTGCTCCCATAACCCCAGAAAATTAAAAATCAAGAAGATCCCGACGAAATGAAGAAGCGGAGATATATATCCGAAGAATCTTGGACGGTAGACAGTAGACACTAGCGATTTAAAAGAAAGAACAACGGAAGTTGTTCAACAGTGAAGGCTGGAGTGGATAACTTATTATATCGGATATATTTTCTTCGTCGTTATAATTATAGTTGGCGCACTTTAAACTTACCTTTCTCACCCTTAATTAGCGCGAGGATACTAATTTTAATGGAGCTTGCAGCGATAATCTTGTTTTCTCTCGTCGCCTTTATCAGACGGAAAGCATGTGCTCCGAACGTCGCCGAGGACTTCCTTCCCACTGCCTCAGTCGTGGCGTCCGTGTTTATCGCCAAGATTAACCTTCAGACAGGACGTGCGGTTGCACTAACGCGGTGACGCTCCAAGGAGGTGACGGTCTTTCCATTTAAAAACTGCCTCGTCTTATCCACAGTGATGTAGGTTAAAGTGCATCGTTTCCCGAGTGATGTAAAAAACTTTAAACGACATCTTGTCGAGCGGTCGATTCCGTTCCTTCGTTAATGCATTATTGATACGAGGATTCCGAAGAAAAGTGTCTTTTAGAATTTTACAAATCTTAATACGTTTAACAATGCTTTTTACATTGAACGAAATCTGTTATTTCTTTAGAATTAAAGAATTTAAAATTCTCCAGAACATTTAAAGTACCGAGATCTCATAAATTGCGATTTTTTTTTATTTTTGCATCGATCCTTCAATTTATCAGATGTCGAAAGAACGAAATAGTTGCTCTTTACGTGAGACACTTTCGTGAGTTCCTCTTCCATCAAATGAATGATAATATGATTTTGTCCTTTCCATCCATTTTAGTCCGATGTCCCTCAAGAATATACGAATAGTTTGGGAACCCTTCGATCCGAAATCCACCCACCTCGGCAATTCGATCACTCCGATATGTATGGTTCAATTATGCGGTGGCTAACCAGGCGACACAATCGGGAGTTCGTTCAGAATTAGGGTCGCCCACGGGGAGATCTATATTTAACAAGGACGCGGAAGATGCGAGCGTGACGGGGCTCGCTGCTCCGCTACGTAACATTAATGAACAACGCCTTCATAAATGTCGATTAATGTTAACCGACGACCTTGATGGTTTACTCCAAACAAAAAACTTTCAGCCATCGCGATGAACGGTCATGCGAAAAATTAGTTCTTGAGGCAAAATACATCGCCGAATGGACATTACGTCGCATTTGAAATTTTCCCTATCATATTTTTATCCTCGTAATAGATACGATATATTATTAACTCCGTTCGCATATTTTTTATTAAAACGAACGCTTCTCGTACACATCGCTAGAATGTTGATATCAAATTCGATTATTCACAGTCCGCTCACGTGCCATATGAATATTTTATTTTATACACGTGTCGCAGCGCGCACGATACGTTCGTGCACGTTGACGGGTCCAACGAGCAGCGCTTATTCAGGCCATGCAAACAGTTCTGACTTCCTATCTGCGCGCGAGCGACCTGATCTCGCGAGTTAAACGTCGCCTGATGATTACCTGACTTGACGCTAATTGAAGGCGCCTACAGCCTCGCGAACTTTAACCAGTGCGCGTGGGTTAACGAGTTTACCTTCGATTATTCGGTGAAATCGACGCGCGACACTCGCAAATAAATTCCCGGCCAAATCGATTACCGCGAGAACATACGCTATTAACTCTAATTGGGTCCTTCTATTAAGCGTCAAACGACCCGGCGACATTTCAAAAATATCGATATAATTATATGCCAAAAGAAAATTTCTCAATTCGCTATATCGGTCATTTTCGTAATTAGCGGAATTGTGTAAACAGCATTTCTGTCGCCTTGTTACATGAAGCGCGTAAAACAAACTACATAGAAAAACATGGTTATTTCGTTTATCTAAAAGATTAGGTAGTCCACAGTCCGTCGTCAGTGGCAGGTAAAAATATTCCATTTCCAATGCTTGAAACTTCATTCGATCGTGGGACATCATCGCTCAGCAGTATTCATGACTTTTTGATCGAATTTGCGACACTTTTCGATGAGTTCCGTTTGTTTACTCATTTACAAAGTATCTCTGTAGCTAATATTTGACCAGGAACTGATACTTTGGGAATTCGGAAAAAGAGCAAGTGCTGAAAAAAGAACTTTTCAAGAACTTATTCGACAAACATTTATGTATTATATTGTATATTGACATAATTAATTAGATAATGTTAATCATAAAGCTATCGCGAAGTAGAATTACGTTAAACGTTTGAAGCCTTATGAAATATAATCCTACCATGGTCGTAGCTTATGGTAGTTGTATTTTAAGTGCCTGTTCCGGGTATTATATTATAAGAAGCTTTCAAGGAATGCTATTAGTATTGCAAG